ATGGAGAATGTGGCCGATTGACGTACAGACTCTGGTTCGAGTCCCGCCGAGGTTATGGTATGGTCGCGACTGCAGTGCAGCTAGAATGAGAAATCGTTTAGAAGGCCAGTCCAGATGACACTTTCTTCATCGTGTAAGACTCAATCGTCGAGATTCACGTTAAATTTGCGTTTGTATTCTTCAACAGTAATCTCTCAATTAAAAATACAATATGCTCAAAAATGTAACCATAACATCGAAAACATAATAATATAATATTTTAATTAAACTGTTAGAAATATTACAATTAAATAAATAAAATAATTTGTGTCAACCAGGAAGCCTTTTCCAGATCGAATTATACACTTGATTTGCACAAATAGATACATTTTGAAGCATCGTTGATGTACTGGAGCACGTTGAAAATGCAATCTTTATTAGTATTTTTGCATAAATATTAGCATATTATTTTAAATCTCACTATCACTTTATTTGAATTTATCGTTTCCCTTGAATTATCTTTTGATATTAGTTCGAGCCAGATCAATATGGACTAATTTAAAGCATCAATCACTGAAAGTTAATTAAAGCATATATTTAAATCTTTTGTATTTTACTTCAGCTGTACCGAAATCACACTGTGGTTTATATTTCCGCCATCTTTGTTTATGTGAATCTACATAATTGCATGTGGATATTGTTTTCAGGAGTCTGTATCACTCTCCATTTTCAGAATATTCTCACACAATAAAGTCAATTTACTTATTTACCGAAAAGCAAATTTTCTGGCCTTACTTCCAACTTGAACTTGATCTTTTTTTCTGAAAGATCTTTTTAATTCATTTTCAATAAATAAACTCAGTATTGAATTGTTTAGCCGAAGTGATGGCATTCAAAGATCAGTGGCTAGACGGCACAGCTGACTTTGAAGACGAGACGAAGTTAGTGATTTAAGACTTATTTGGCTGAATGCATTTTTGGTATTGTTTTCCAGAGTTTTGAAGCAGAAAGTCGACCTTTTTCAAGGCAATTGCAATGCATCTTGATGAGATGTGTTTACCCTCTTTCGTTTGAAGCGTCAAATGGACGGGCAGTTGAAGTTTCCGCCAATCGCATGAGTTGCCATAGCGACCAGATTACATTCCATTTCAACTCGTGTCTGGTAGCAAGTCTATTTCCAAATATCACCTTCTGGAGTGGGATTATAGACGATAAAAAGTAGTATCTGCTACGGTAATCGACTGCACTACTTATATTTCGGTTGTAAGTAGTCTTTCCCAAATATATCTCGACAGCTCATTTCAGTTTGTAGGTAGGCGCCGGCAGAAACTATGAAGAAGTCGTTGTTGCCAATGACTTTATTTGGGCATAAAAATAAAAGGATACATTTTCCGTCAGTTATTCGAGTTGTTTGATGTCAACTTTCAGTTGGTTCCCCTCGAGGTGGAAGAGACCACGGCGCCGACCGCCTGGCCGCCGTTTGCCGGCGTCCCGACGACAGCGTCCGAGGCTCGAGTCCCGTTCAGCGTAATCCGGGGCCGTTGGCAACCGGCGCAGGCCTCGCACCAGCCGCCACGACAGCACCGGCCGTCGCTGCCGATCG